AGTGGAAGTGTTTGTCAGGTTGCCGAGGAGATCGTCGTCGCGATTTAAATGCGTTTCGAAATCATGGAAAGATATACTCGCCGATCGACACAAAAAATCATCATATCATGAGGTTCCCAAGATTCTACTTTTGGTTAACAAGGGAGGGTATTCGAGTTTCTGCACTGTAGAATTGGATTCGCTGCCCGGCAACAAGATGAGAATCTAAATGAGAAAATTCGTAGCTTCATATCAAGATGGACTGCTGTCTGTTTCCTTAATTTTCTGTTTGAGCTAGTTTTACTTTCCAACTTAATTTAATCTAATAATTATCTAATATTATTGTCATTATATCATAGTAATAATTACATGAATCCAAAATAATAGCGATTGTTTTTTTCACAAAAAACATTAAAAAAATCCCATATTCCCTTTTATATCCCTTTAAATGCTGATTTCAAATTTAACAACTCCCTAAATTTCATCTGAAGAAAAGGAAAACCATAATGCTAATTCAATCTTCAAGATCGCCATCTACAAATCTCATCCCGGATATTTTAATTTCAAAATTTAAATGAGTTTCGTCCCTTTTTTCTTTTTTTTTCTATTTCTTCTTTCTTAGCTGACCATTCGAAACATGCCCAGCGTAGATCGGCGACGACTCAACAACGCCAACGATGACGACTTTGCTAAAACAAGCCGAATCATCAAACCCTTTGGTTATATCAACAGCAATTGATCATTGCAGGTAATACTTTACTTTTGGGTTATATCGTGGGCATTTTGTTTAGTTATTTACCATTTAAGATGAGATTTTTTTTTTTTTTTTTTAAAGTGATTGATTATTGCACGAAGATCACCACTTTGATGAATGATGCTCTACTTTCTTGCTTGGCGTTGTGCGTGTTTCTCTTTTTCTTTTCTTATTATTTTAAACCTTATAGATGACCAATTCTAAAGCTTTGTTGGCTATGTATGACTAACACAATAAAATAGGATGATTTCAGATTAGTATAAATTTATAGCAACAGGAGAACAACTCATTCCATTAGATGGAACTACGAAAATTGAGCTTTCACATGGTATGAATCATATTGTGCTAGGATGAAAGAGGACAAATGTGTACTACAGATAGTAACCATATATTCTGTAATGAAAGATCCAATCTTTTTGCTTCGCCCGAATAAATAATATTTGTTGAGACTTTTTTATAGTAATAAAAATGAACTCCCTCCGTCCTATAATTATTGTTCAGTTTGGATTTTCATTTCTAGTTTAAATTGTACTAAAAGTGAAATCTCAAACTGGAGTAATAATTTTATCATCGATCTACCCTGTTTTGGAGCGTTCGGTCGGGATATTCATTCCATGACGCCCCAAGATTGAATCTTTCTAGCTGTTTCATTTGAGAATTTACTGTATCTGCAAGTGGACTAGTCCTTCATGCTCATTTTGCATATTTTGGATTCAAAGGAATCTTGGGATTTTTTGAGGATGTTGATAATCTTCTATGCTGTTTCCTCAAAAATGTCAGGATTATAAATTCAAAATATGAAGATGATATTACTGGTAGATGAATTACATTGTTGAGCCGTTCTTTTTGCATCTCCTTTTGTATTTGGCTGCTTTCAGAAATTCCATATATAATTTTCTTTTTTATACAGTAAAGCATATTTATTGTGTAAAAGTAATGGGTGTGTATTTCAAGTTTGTACCACTTTAGATTTTATTGAGGTTTTAGGGAGTAGAGTTAGATTCGAGAAATTTCATAATTTGATGCTCCAACTGGCTGTTTTTTCATTCTTGTTCAAGGTTGATTTATCTCTTGTTGATGAAAACCTTTGTATGTTCAATGGCAGTCTCTATTCTTGTGGTAAGCAGTAATTTTCTGGTTAGAGTATCACACTTCTAATGCTGCTGAGCTTTTCTCTTAGCTCGAACTGCATGGTTTCAATTTGTGCCGATACAGATGGTGTCTTTCTTTCAGTGGAATAGCTCAAATGTTGCTAGCAGCATGTTATGAATGATTTATAAAGTTTTTAATTCTTTCATTTTAAATTTTCTTCTGTAGTAACTAGTAAGTGGGTGCAGGAGTTCTGTCTGCACTTGCACTGATGAAACAGTGTGCAGTGGAATTGGTGAAAACAGCCATCTGATTTATTTTCCTCTTTGTTCAAGATTTTGTGAGATTTGAGAGTTCGTAAATGTAATCAGGCTTGTAAGGGTTCATGTCCTAATTGAGGGAACTACGCCATTTGAACTTTTAGAGGTCTCCGGCATCCTAGAAGCAAAACTAATTAGACCTTGGAAGGAACTGTCACAGTCTGGGTAGGGAGAAACAAAGTCGGCGCACCTGTTGTCAGGTAGCTACAGATTGAGCTTCTAGAGAGTGTTTTTTATCAATGGTGAACGAAATCAAGGCTGTTGAAGGGGAGTGGCAAAACTCACAATCATCATTCCACAAGTATTTATTTGTAAAGGGAAGCTCCTGTTGGTGTTGATCGGAGTCTTAACTGACATGGAAGGAAGTGAGATGCTTTGCGAAGTGAGTATGAAAAAATCAAGGCGAGTGATGGGACCTATTGGTCATTTGACACTAACAAAAGTGGAGGCTTGGGTTTTCCGGAAGGCTATCATGAGGACTTACTTATTCACAGCTTTGGAGAATTTTGGAGATATGAAAACCTGAACCATACAGCTTGAATTGAGGCCCAGAGGATTCCCCAAGTGGAGGATTTGGCAGATTGCGAATCATATCATGAAGCCTGAGCACTGTGAATTACCGTTCCAGGACAATAAACAGCAGGCAGATTAAGCCACTGAGATGAGAATTAGCCAGATAAATTGGAAAGGAATCATCATTCTATAAATGTCAAATATTTAGCTAAAACATGGTATTACAGATCTGCTGAATGGCAATCACCAAGACACCCACAATCTTCTACAGAAATAAGGGTGGGGAAAGACCATATGGAAATTAGAAGTCCCTCCTAAGCACCAAGTCCTTATCTGCTGCTGTATGAGACGCGTTACCAACAAAGTGTACACAGCTGAAAAGAGGGCTTCAACTCAAACACTGCGTGGCAATTGTAATCAACACATCTATTCCTAGATTGTAAATGGTGTAGAAGGATTTGGAGAGCATCATCTTTGGGATTCAATTTTGATCTAGGTGCTACACTCACTTTATAAGTTTTAACTTTGAAGCAATGGATTTGTTTTACTGGATTCAGGAAGCATCGTCGGATTGACCTTCTCCGGCTATCCTTTCACAGACTGGAACATTCAGTAACCAAAGAACCCTGAGTCTACCTCAAATGACACAAAGTAAGGACTGCAAGCATTGATTTTAATTGATGATCCAGACAGAGATATGAGCTTGTAATCGATTGCTGAAAAATCTAAAAACACACAAATTCGAGATGATAGAAGCGAAACTAGATCTTAAAAAACTCATTATGCTATGAATTTAACTAATCGATTCAAACAGCAGGAACAGAAAATAGAGATTACTTCACGTCTGATACGGAGAGATTAATTTTAATTGATTTTCTGAAACGATTGATTGATTCCGAGATTACAATAATTTACATTTTTTTTTATATTTATTTTTCATAATCTAAATCAGTAAAGACGGTTTATACAAAAATCGAATTTTCGAAATTCAGAAACAGCGATGAAATATAAAGTTTTGATTATACATCCAGTACGACCACAACAATTATGGTCCGCAATTATCGATTCCTCATATACCAACAATGCCCCAAAAATTTATGCTTTTCAACCCATGAAGGTGGTGGAAAAGTTGTGATGGAACTTTTCTCTACGTTGTACTTGTGAATATGTTGGTCGCCTGGCTCAACAAAATATATGCAATTTGGTTGTATCCTTGATTTTGTAGATTGGGCAGTCATGTAAGATGTTCCATTGCAAAGAAATATCGTACGCCCATTCAAAGTGAATAGCTCTTTACAAGTCCGCTTGAGCAAATCAATCTCAATGATCTGAAATCGTGAGGCATTCTTGGTAAAGAATTTCGAGTTAATTCTGCAAACATACACAAGTGTACCAGCAGCTGCTTCCAGCAAATAATCTTGAGAATGTGAAGTAAGAACAGAGATTTCGGTGGGAACCCAACAGGATTTCCATCATTCTTCCATAATAATGGCTTGACTTGCCGGGTTGAATTTATAATATGAATTACGACGGCTAGGTTACTTGGTTTTAGTAAACCAATGACCTCTCCATTCGCAGTCGCAGCTGCCACTAAATGCTGATCATGTCCCACGCATGAACTCTGATTCACAAATCTGTTATCTCCTAATTTGCAAACTCGTAAGAAACCGCGATCGGATATGAAAATAACATGACAATTATCATCTCCCGGGGGTTTTGAAACTATGCATTTGTCCCTTTGGGTGATACCATCATCACGAGGAACGTCTGAACCTTTTTTAGAGTCTACCGCATTGAGGTTTGGGAGTTGAATTCTTGCATACGAAACTGGATTGAAAAGGTACAAGTTATCCTTGATGAAGTCCACCAAAACCAACCATCCATAAGCACTAGCCAACAAACACTTGCCCCGCAACTCTACTATGTCTCTTGTATAGCAACGAATTTTGGAAATATTGAAAAAATTCTGACCAAAAGAAGGAAGATGATAGATTGTCTGTTTTACCTACGGAGATTCTGAATTTGATTCGTTCCTATCTGTTTGTTGAAGATCAAGTAGCCTTCAATGCTATATGCCAATCCACAAAATCGATCCAAAACCCTATTTTAACCCTCGAAACAACATCATCTAGACATAGATTCTTCTTCACTACTCCATGTTTATTTTTGCATAATCGCATTCGTAGTTCTCAAGGGTTCAATCCCGCCAACAACTCTATCTATAACATTAATAATGAAGAACTACCAGAATTAATTAAGGATGCAGAAATACATTGCTCAACTACGGATGGTTGTTGATGTCCAACCCGAAAAAGATATTCTTTTTCAACCCTTTGAGTACGAAGATGAATAAAGTGATAGAAATCTCGGACAGGCCTAATTGCGACATCATAGCGTTAAGTTTTCCGCACCCACCGACAAGCATCAACTGGTCCGTCTTTGGGATTTTTCATAGTGATAAGAATGAAGACAAACTCATTGTTGGTAGCATTGAAAGTGGAGGACGACAGCAGCATTGGAAATTTGGCGTTTTCCCAAACGAGTATAATTTCCGGGTTTCCAATGCTATGCTTGTTTACCACAAGTATCAATACCATTGCTTGGATGTGAAGGGACGTCTAGGTAAATTTGAAGATCCTCATGGAGGGGATGTAACATGGAATATTGTGCCGCGAATCGGATTCAAAGGTTTGAAATTAAGGGCAGTGAATCAGACCTTTTTAGCGGCCGGAGAAGATGGAGACATTTTCGCTGTGGTTGTTAGCTGTGATAATACAGAAGTCTCGGTTTACAAGTTAGACCCTTTTGAATTTGAGTGGATACCAGTGGAAAATCTAAGAGATAGGATGCTATTTCTAAGCGAAACTGCATCCTTTGGGGCAAAAGCTACCCGATCCGCGATGGGCAACAAGATCTATTTTCCGAAATTTTATGGCACAAGTGGTGTCTTTTATTCTTTATCTACAAAGAAATATCGCTCATATGATGGCAGGTTTGCTGCTAACGAACCCTACATGTTAGAGAATATGTCCACCGCGACTTGGATCCAACCATACTATCCTAGTTAATCCATCATTTGTAATGTTGATTCATCAATTATAAAATTGTGTGTTAAGTTGCTTTGTTGCTCTACAATCCTCTTTTTTTTTTTTTTCCTATCTAGTTTTCAATGCAATCTCATTTTAGTTTACGAACAGGCAAAATGGGCTGTATAACGTTTTGTTAGATTGCGATCTTGTACTAGGTTGTAACATTGGCGATTCATAGTAGAAAACTTGCCTGAAGTTTCTCATAATTAATTGATCCTTGAGGAAAAAATGAAGCTCATTATTTATCTCTTATCAATGAGTAAATCAACATCATGTTAGCTTGTACTGTATGATTGTTTTTGTAGAATTAATTTGAAGGAATCACTCCTTCACTCTTTCTAACAATGTACACCTCTTCCAAACTGTCTCCTAGCGGTTATCGATTACGTTTTGCCAAATCTAACTGAATGTATAGATGTTATGAATCTAGAGGAATGAGAAACGATGGTTTTGCGATTTTAATACTTAGACGAGAAAAGCCTATGCTTTTTATTCTTCAGCCCTGAAAAACGAATGATGGAATGGAACAAAAAAGAGCCCGTAAATTTCTTCTTCTTTTTTTTTCCCCCCTTTTACGTGCAAGTTCTCATAAAATTTTTTGGAAATTTTTTTTTTGGATATAGAAAAATTTTAACATAAATTTTTATTAATTTAATTCATTGTCTGAGATGAGCATCTCCAAATCCATCTCAATTTATGTTAAATTTTGTAAAATTACTTATTATAAGGTGTAAACATTCTGTCAATTTATTTATCGTTCTCTATTCCTAAAATATCATCTATAAATCTTTTTCCAATTTCATCTATATCTCTCCACTTTTGATTAATTATATTAATACTTTTAATTTGTTGGTCAAATAATATCTTTGACTTTGTTGTTGTTTTTAGTTAACCCGATGCTCAAGTCGACAAAGACTAAAATATATTTCGTGGTCTCATTTTCACAATTTTTCAATGATAGCATAGTAAATTTTTGGACGAAACTATGAAAATTATGAAAGTCGACATGTATAAAATTTGATAGCAAACACTACATTTTGTTTCGGTGGCTAACTTCCACAACGCACTCATAAAATCTATTGAAAAAAAGTTTTTATTAATAATTTTTATTTATTGGTATCAATATTAAGTTCACGTAACGTTTATTGAAATTGATTTTGTCGATTTTGGTTTTTATTTAGCAATGTTTATGAGAGAGTTGATGTAGATTAAAATACATTGTTTTTTTGTCATTTTCACAATTATTTTGTGATAATATAGTCTACCTTTTACCTATCTAAAGCAGTTATCATCAGTACACATGGCAGTTTCTACTCAAATATTTTCTCGCTAAAATGTTTCCTTATGCATCAGCTAATTAAATCAACATGTCAATCCAAATAAAAAATATTTTTCAAATACGAAAAACAACAACTCTAAAAATTCAGTCATAGTAAACCAATGGCAATAACCGTTCAAAAATTACTCTAATCAACGACAATAATTAAGGATGATCATCGTTATCACAATTTATCATTTTCTTTTTAAAAAAAATATCTGATGATCCTTAAAATATAATGATATTACCAAGTTAATAATTACCCTCCAGAGCAAAAAATGGCATACTCTCCTAAATTACCCTTATAAGGTAAAAAAAAAAAAAAAATTTCCGTCCCCCTCTCTTCTTCGTTGATTCCACACCCCAACATACAAAATTTCCTACTATATTTTTTTTTCCTCCTGCTGAGTGTAAGATGACTCTGTATAAACTTTTAATAACCATACAACCCTCACTCATAGAAACTCCTAGCAATTTTAAAGATCACAACTACTGTTTATCTTAATACAAGACACCATAGAAAACCAATACAAGTGTAAATTGTATACACTGTGTGGGACGAGTTAAGCGTCGTTGAAACATCAATAATTTGTTTTAAGGTCTCTCATTCCTTAATATGGTAGAGCTGCACAAAGGTTCCGCATAAGAACAACAAGAAAACCAGAATTCCTCTGCTTTGTTGTTTTTCTCTCCTCCTAAATCCAAAAAATCCCTTCATTTTCTTGGTGTCTTTTATTTTTTCTTAGTGGCAAAGTTATCTTTGAATCAAACAAAATTGGCTATCCTTCAATTTTTATGGAAGAAGATGAAGGCCAAAGATTGAATCTTCGAAATTGAAGGTTAGATCTTGGGACTGAGAAGATGGGGAATATGAATAATTATACTGTTGGTTGCTCATGTGATGGAGAGGACAAACACTATATTGATGAATGATAGTTGGGAAAATTCTTTTAGGATGGAGAAATAATAATTGGCAGCGTTTGATTTTGGGCAAAAATGATGAATGAGGTCTCCTTTGTAAGATTGGGGGTATTTTTGAGAATTGCGGGGATTTTTTTCTCTAGATGGACACCTTTAAAACGGCCGGGCTGTGACACTAGTAAATCATTGTATGCTCAACACGGACCGAACTTGATAGAGTGAGGGGGGAAAAAAAGAATGTACTTAGTAATCAATTTTCACAGTTTTTGGACACTTAATTATTTGTTAAAGGAGGAAAACATCATCCGAGTTGGTGCCGTGTGCAAAATATGAATTTGTAGAGGAAGAATAGGTAATTAACGTAAGTACGTTGAATAAGATGCAGTTTACTATTCTGATTATTGTTAATGTATATAGATATAAGGTCATAATTGTAATTATGTATGTGTGATTGTACTATATATATACTTAATGTATCAATACAACACCCTAAGGGGTTTCAAGAGAAAGATCCAACTTCTTCGGTGTAATAGTCCAAGCCCTTTTTGTCTCTTTGGTCCTTGTTCTCTACCATCTTCGGTGCCAGCTCTAATAGCTCTTCACACAAGTCTTCTCATTTGGTATCGTCATTTAGGTCATCTTGGCTCTCGTGTCCTAAATAAATTAATAACTAGATCTCTTATTTCTAGTCCCCATTCTAGTTCCCATTTAGGGTTTTGTCATGCTTGTCAACTCGGGAATCATGTGTGTTTACCCTTTGATACTTCTACATCTCAATACTTCACTTATCTTCTTAACCGACTTCCTAGACCGCTCTTATCCCATAGATCTCCTTATGAAGTCCTTTACCATACATGTCCGTCATATGATCATTTACACACTTTCGGTTGTGCATGTTATCCTAACCTTTCTCATACCGTTAAACACAAGTTAAGACCTCTATCCAGCTTATGCGTTTTTCTTCGGTATCCGAAACATCACAAAGGGTACCGATGTCTTGATCTTACAACTAATAAAGTCATAACATCTCGTCATGTTGTATTTGATGAGAACATATTTCCTTTTGCTTCTGTTTCTTCCCATGTATCCCTATCGTCCTAATCTATCTCTTGTTTTCGTCCACCGGGTCTCTGGTTTCTTCTGCTCTACTTCCAACGTCTTTTCCTTCTTCTTCCAGTTTTTATGCTCCATCTGTACCTCCTCAAACTACTCTCAATCCACCAGTTACTATTTCTCCTCCTCCATCTACTTCTCGATGTCTCTCACCCCCTATTTGGGTCTGTCCACTCTTCCTCATACTTCATCTTCCCATATTTCTCACCCTATGGTCACTCGCACTCAAGGCGGTACTCGGAAGCCCAAGGTGATTTTTAATCTAGGTAGTTCAATTACTAACCCTCCTTTGCAGGCACCTACTACATTCCGTGAAGCTGTGAAACATGATGAGTGGCAACAAGCAATGAATGATGAAATCGCTGCCTTGTCTCGTAATAACACCTGGACTCTTGTTCCCAAACCTCCTGGGGTCAATGTAGTTGGCTCCAAATGGGTGTTCCGTATCAAAGAAAAGGCAGATGGTTCTTTGGATCGCTACAAAGCAAGACTTGTAGCTCAGGGATACTCACAGCGACCAGGTGTTGATGTTGATGATACTTATAGTCCAGTTGCTCGTTCGGCTACCATTCACATAGTTTTGTCTTTGGCTCTATCTCGCAACTGCCTATTCATCAACTAGATGTGAAGAATACTTTTCTTAATGGTCTCTTGTACGAATCTGTTTATATGAAACAACCTCTAGGGTTTGTCCATCATCAGCATCCTGACTATGTTTGCAAGCTCAATCATGCTCTCTATGGCCTTAAGCAATCCCCTCGGTCTTGGTTTCAGCGGTTTACTTCCTTCATCACTACTCGTGGTTTTTGATCTTGCAAGTCTGATTCCTCTATGTTTGTTTACCCTCATGGTGGGGATATGGCTGTTCTTTTGTTTTATATTGACAATATTCTTCTCACTGCTTCTTCTACCTCGCTCATGTCTTCTATTATTGCTCAGTTGAGAAAAGAGTTTGCTATGACAGATTTGGGTGATTTGCATTATTATCTTGGCATTTCTGTCTCACGTACTTCTGATAGTCTCTTTCTGTCATAGTCGAAATACATAGCCAATCTTCTTGATCGGTGCCATCATACTTCTACTAATCCTGCTATCACTTCTGTTGATACTAAAGCTAAATTATCTCAATTTGATGGGTGAGTTGTTTGCTGATCCATATGAGTATCGCAGTATTGTGGGAGCCTTTCAATATGTTACCTTCACTCGACCTAATATAGCCTATGCAGTGCAGCAGATTTGTTTATTTATGCATCAGCCTCGGGAGTCTCGCTACAAAGCAGTCAAGCGCATTCTGCGCTATCTGAAGGACACTCTTTCTCATGGTCTTCATATACACTCTGCCCCTTTTGATAAGTTAGTGGCATAGTCTGATGCTGACTGGGCTAGCTGTCGTGATACTCGTCGATCTACTTCTAGCTATTGTGTCTTCTTAGGTCCCAATCTCATTTCTTGGTCCTCTAAACGGCAACCAATTGTTTTCTGTTCGAGTGCTAAGACTGAATATCGAGCGGTTGCTAATACTGTTTCTGAAGTATGTTGGAGTCATTCCTTATTGTGGGAGCTGTATATTCGGTTGCCTACTGCCAACCTTGTATTTTGTGATAATGTTAGCGCTATTTTCTTGTCTACTAATCCTGTTCAGAATCAGCGTACCAAACATGTTGAGATTGATATCTATTTTGTTCGTGAGAAGGTTGCTTAAGGGTCCATTCGTGTTCTTTATGTTCCTTCTTCTCATCAGTTTACTGATATTATGATGAAGAGCTTGGTTCATGTTCTTTTTATAGATTTTTGAGACAATCTGAACGTTCGTTCGTGCACCTCCCGTTCAAATTGCGGAGGATGTTAGTGTATATGGATATAAGGTCATAATTGTAATTATGAATCTGTGATTGTACTATATATATATATATATATATATATATATATATATATATATATATATACTTAATGTATCAATACAACACCCTAAGGGGTTTCAACACTTTCAATTATATCAACACTTTGCTCTTAAGGCAAAAGAGAATCCTCTTCCTTTAGTAATTCTCCGTACTCATTGTCCTAAAGGAAAAAACCCTAGTCAATCCCAATATTCTCTCTTTCCGACATCAAACTTTTTAACACTGAATTAGCCATGTCAATCAGCCAACTTCCTGAAGATTTACTAGCGGAAGTGCTTGTCAGGTTGCCGCGCAGATTGTTGTCAAGATTTAATTGTGTTTCGAAATCATGGAAAGATCTAATCAGCTGCAAATATTTCATCAATCGACACAAAAACTCATCACATCATGAGAATTCCAAGATTCTACTTTTGGTTGACAAGAGAGAGTATTCGAGTTTCTACACCGTAGAATTGGATTCACTGCCAGGCAACAAGTTGAGAACCGCTAAGCTGAAACTTCCCCACCCTTTCAAAACTCGAGTTAAAAGAATCAGTGGTTGTTGCAATAACTTTCTATGTTTGTGCTATTCAGAAAATCAAATTGTGTTGTCGAATCTGATTTCTCGCAAGTACTGGGTGTTACCGGATGCCATTGATCCATCCTTTCCGGAACTAGATCAAGGGAACTATGGGGTCAGTTATGTGTATGGTTTCGGGTACGATGATATCAACGATGACTACAAGGTTGTGAAAGTCGCTTGTTTGGTTAGAGTTACAGTACATCTTATATTGTCTCACGAAGTTCAAATATATAGCCTAAAATCGAATCCTTGGAGGCGCCTTCCAAAGTTTTCGGGCCGTCTCATTTATAAGGACGGCAAACTAGTTAACCATGCTCTACATTGGATGACTGTTGATGGTAATATCTTGGCTCTGGGCCTGAAAACGGAGTCATATGAAACTATTCCACAGCCTAAAGAGGTTAGCGAGGAATTAGAATCATTCAAAAAGACGCGTGTTCTTGGGGTCGTGGAGAACTGTTTATGTGTGATGTATGCACACAAATCTACAAGTTTGTTGCATCTGTGGATAATGAAGGATTACGGCGTGCAGGATTCTTGGACTAAGGTCGTAGTGAAAGGGTTTCCTATGTGCTCACCATATGGTATCAATCCCTTTCTCCAGCCAATATCATATTCACACATTCAAATTAACCAAATCTTCTTTCACGATATGGAATACGTTTATGCTTATGATACTAAAAACCAAACGCTTCAAAAAGCCGCTTCCTTCAAGTCCACTACAACATACATTAAGAGTAGTGCATATCCTTTGATGCTTAGTAGCAGCGGCGACTCAAGTACACTTGTTGAGCCTTGGTCTTGTTGGTCCAACCCAATTTAGAAACAAGTTAAGAAAATAAGCTGTTTGATCCATAACTTAACACTTGATTTTTTTTATTTTTTATAAGATTCTATTTTTCTGTTGAGGAATTATAGATATAGAAGTAGCATAAGGTGACTCTAGCTTTGCCAAATTGATTTTCATTGATACTATGTTCTGATATTTACTGTTTCTATTCCTTCATTACAGTGGTTGACGAAGGCCAGAGTAGTAAAACTTTTGCTAATGGCCAGAGTAGAATTTGCATTTGCTCTGCATTTTTAGTTTTGATCTTTACCAAGCATCCATATACAATTTGATCATTTTAGTGATTCGATCTCAAACAAATTAAGATGTGCATGTGTAATTGTGTACACAGTTTAATTAATCTATAGATGCTTAGTATAAATATTGGCAATCCTAATAGCTGGAACGATTTTCACATTGATCATCGTTGAAATCGGGAGAAAACCCTACTCTTAATATTCTCTCTATGTCAAACCCTATAATATGCTTCGCTGTTGAACATGTCAACCAGCCTTATTCCCGAAGATTTACTGGTGGAAGTCCTTTTTAGGTTGCCGCCAAATTCACTATCAAGAAGATTCAAGTGCGTCTCAAAATCATGGGGAAAAAAATAATCCCAAGTAAATTTTATCAATTGACGCAAAAAAGTTATTCGAAACTCGAAAGATTTTACTCTAGGTTGAGGATCGATCAAGGAGATCATTGCTCCACTAGTATCTACACCGTAGAATTGGATTCTTGGCATGTTACAGATAATGAAAACCACAAAGATGGATTTCCCAAATCCTTTTGAAACTGTCAAAGTACATAAGTAGTTTGGGCTCCCATCTCAAAACTAATTGGCAATGAGTAAGGTGACCTTTGGCACTTATATACAGAGTCACTTCTCTTCACGGTGGCGAGTCACTTCTCTGTCAAAGTATATAAGTAGTTTGGGCTCCCATCTCAAAACCAATTGGCGATGAGTAAGGTGACTTTTGACACTTATATACAGAGTCACTTCTCTTCATAGTGGCAATTAGGACAAATTATATACATTAACACCATCCCTCAAGTCAAATGGGTCTTTGAACTTTTTGCCCAATGGACTTGGATCATGGGAAAAAACCAGTTATACCGTTTGATCTGTTCAAAATAAGCCCACGAGTCAACGCTCAAGTGAAAGCATATAAAATCAACACAGGCCACCTCCAGCCCAGAACTCCACTACAGCATAAAGGGAGATTTAAGTCGAGATATGTGAGGGGTTTTCACTTTTCATGTTTATTATCGGAAATATTTCAGAGAAAAATGTTACATTAAATGGTTGTTTTTTTACGAAGGGGTATATGTGTAAATTAGCTCATAAAAAAAGTTAAATTGGACAATAATTTTGGGATAAATTTTTTTTGACAAAGTGAACAATAATTTTGGGACGAAAGAAGTACTTATTAAAAAGGTTATTTCAAAAGAGCTAAGACTCTCTGAATACGAGATTATTTCACCAACCATATCTACCTGATCAGGTTATCAAAGACAAAGAATCATTGGTTCGCCATTTATGGTTATGATACAGAAAAACAATTTGGTTTGACATGCCCTTTGATTTTCCAACTCCAGATCATATATCAATAGACAATAGTAGTGCGTATCCCTTCTGCAAAACCAAGTCAAGTATCCTTGTTAGGCCTTGGTCTTGTTGGTCTTGACCATAGTAGTAAGTATCGTACGATACGCGATATGTATCGCACAATACGTATCAAAATTAAGAATTTCAATACGTATCATGTTATGTATCGTAATCGCCTGTGTATCGGTCAATTGTTGATACGTATCGTACGATACATACGATACACGATACGATTGCGCATCGTACAATACAAAAACAAAGGCAAAAAAATATATATATTATTAAAAAAATTTAAACTTTTGTTTTATAATAACCGTTTAAATTTTAAATTAAGAGCGAATTTCATTTACAATTTGTTTTAAATAGATATTATTGATTTATTACTTTCACGAACATAATCTTTCTCAATTGAAGACAGAACCGCTTAATAAATTATCATAGTCTAAAAAATAATAGATTTAAAAATATTATTTTATTCGTAATATCATTTTCCAAATGAAGTACTATAACTAATAGCATGTTGAATAAATGCAATACATGTTTATATTAATTTTTCTCACTATTAAATTTATGGCTATAATAACAATTATCATGAAAAACGATATTTATTACATAGGTTGTACGACCATTATTCATGTAATGAATGAGTAATTTGTGTAACTTTCAAATAATCTTGAATTCAACTTAATCAATTTATTTGTTTATAGCTGAAAAATAAAAAAGTATAAATATATCAATAACATATGGATTTTATGATATTTATTATTTATTTTATACATATTATTATATTAAAATGTATCTTACGATACGATACACGATACGATACGCGTATCATAAATTTAGGTTTCCGATACACAATACGTATCACGATTTGATAACTATGGTCTTGACCCAAATTATTCCCACTCATGTCAACTTATTTGTGTTCTCCGTGAAACTTCAAACCAATTCAAATCACCTTTTTTACCAGATCTGTCAAGAAGTTGCGAGAAAATTTTTTGAAAAAAAGTTCACCACTACCGACGGAATTTCTTCGCCCGCTGCAAATTCGCCATCAATGAATTCAGAAATAATTTTTTTTTTCATTGTTCTACACACACTCTCCGGTTAAATTCAGATAGTTTTGCGAGAAAAACAAGCAAAGAGTTCCCAAAAAAAAAAAAAAACTGCAAAGAAACAATTAAGTTGACATGTTTCATTATAACCCGAAAATTGACCCGCAAAGGACCCGCGAGCTTGCGAAATCCATACAGACTCGGACGTCCAAATCTTAGCTCTGAGTGTGACATGAAATGGTGTTAGTGTTAGTGACATGAAAATTTGAAAGGGTTTGGAACTTTGGATTCAATACGAAATCAAAATTCGTGTTAGTGTGCTTTTTCCTTACCAAATCACAATATCCTTTAGTCACTTATAAATGCTGTGTAATGATTAACTAAGCTTCATCAAGGAAGCCCAAAATAATTGCCCCTCTTTCAACTTATGGATCATTTCAATCCATGGCCCAACGCCCAAAACGGATATTCTGGTAGAAGGAAGGTGCTTTGGGTTACATCTCAGGGAGTTTTCTGTCATGTCATGCATAAAATGACTAATTATTAATTTAATTTATTTAAGCTCGGAGTTTTACCATTTTTAATCAAATTCACTCTATGTCGAAAATAAAAATAATAATAACAATAATTCACTTTATTATAATATTTATTATAATAAAATATACTATAACGTTCCAGAAAAATAGTCCAATTTTAAAAATTAAAATATAAAAATTAAATAACTTTATTCTGGGATAATTGATCGTGATACAGGAAGCTGGAAGGTGAGTTTAGTTCGCAGCGTTTTCTAACTATCAGAAGCTGACAGTATTCTCTCAATGTTACCTGGAAGTCCGTCATCAAGGGATAAATGGATGTGGCATCATTTACCTAATGGAAGATTCAGCGTTAACGCAGCATATAATGCTTTACCAAAAATTCCATCACCTCCGGTTGATAATCATCCTTTTATAGTTCTGTCAGTGAATGATACTACATTTTGGACTAAGTTATGGAAACTGCAAATTCCCAACAGAATCAATCATTTTCTCTTGGCGACGCTCAACAGATTCACTTCCTTCATTGGAGAATTTGAAAAAATACGGTTGTATCCTAGATTCATCTTGTTCTCTATGTGCTGCATAAAATACAACAACTTTGCATACCTTTGTTTACTGCCCTTTGCAACACAAATGTTCATGTTTGTTGGAATACTAGATAAAATTCTCGAATATCAGCAATCACGATAGGATTTATGTGTACGAGAAATCATCCTCCATCGTGAGAAAACGTTTGCTGAATTTTTTGGCGTTTTATGCAATCTGTTGCGGTATGTCCGTAATAACAGCTTATTCAACCATACCATTGCTTGTCCAAGAAGTTCGGCGACAAATGTTACCACTATGCTCAATGATTTTAAGTCTGCAAATGGACACCCTAACGTTGGTCACCTGCATTGGGTTCAAAATACTTGTTTCCTCCGGAGAATTTGCAAACTTGTATATTTTTTGATGAAGCTGTTTTGAAAGTTAGGAACTATGCTGCTACAGGCATTTATATCCGTGATCAACATGGTAATTTTGTGGCTAGCAAGGGACGTTGTATGAATGGGACTCGTTCTTCAGAATTTGTGGAAATGATGGATTTGAAATATGCTATTTTACTGATGAAAGATCTTAATATTAACAATACTACTATTATGGGTGACTCTTCTGTAGCTGTCATAACAGCCATAGGTGATGCTGATTGTTCGTCCATTTGTTTACCAGTATTGTTAGAGATTAAGCAGTTATTATTAGATCTCTCTTTCATGTCCATATACTGGATTCCGCGACAAGAAAATGAAGTTGCTCATGTTTTAGCTGCTTATGCCAAATCGCATGTAACAAATGATATAACTTGAATCCGGCAATTTATATGGTAAACCATGTTCACAATAGATTGTGGACTTGTTTTAAGAATTGTATTACACACTTTAAAAAATGAGTTAAATTTTAATTAATTTTTATTATAACAACCACGCGCATCAATATTATTGATGTTTTTTTCTCCTTATTATTCACTTTATCATGTAGCCAATCGTATCTAAAAAATAAAACTGAAAATCTAGTATCTTATCGACATTATTTGGCGGTTCACTTAACTTTTCATCTATAAAATAAAGCAAAAATTGACAAGTAGATGCAAACTATCTTTCATTCATCTTTAAAAAAATATTAAAAATTACAAGACTGAATTTTGATTTAAATCAAATCCCTTTAATGTCGTTTATGATGAAAGGTGATACTTTAGAAGTCTATTAAGGAGGTGGTAGTGACGAGCACTCAAACGATAACGCTAACAATGGATTCACCCAAGATTGCAATTTTCACGGCTGAAACTAACGACGATAATCTGACACAACTTCAATTGATACGCATTGAAGATGATGTATTGTCCCCAACAACTTCACTTAATATCCGTTCATGAAGATGAACTTTCTCCACATGATTCTGGTAATGTTGAGTTTACATTTAAATAGTTACTCCCTCCATTCCAAAATAAGTGTCGTCCTACACTTTGCACATAGTTTAAGAAACTCTTAAATATGGTAATAAAATTACTTGAACACCCTCAACTAACCCCATTAAGAAAATGGCTACCAATAGTATTAATTCTTTTGGGGGTAATTTTAGAAATATTGGACAAAAAGTGCATTGAAATGTGAGAACGACACTTATTTTGGAATTTTTCCATTTTGCTAAAACGACACTTATTTTGGAACGGAGGGAGTAGAAAACAATAGAGTTTTCGATAAACATGTACTTATATGTTAATGAATAATTTTTAATAAAAACCATGAACACGCTTGTCTATATTATTCACTCATGAACTTTTTTTTAAATGGATTTGAACATTTTATCATATTAAACACTCAAGTATGGTTTGTGTTCTTCTTTTATTGCATGTATGAATATGATGCAAACTCATCATGAATATGCCATTTGCGATGTATGAATATTGATTATATTTATCATGAACATAATATGGTCATAAACATATTACAAATTGTGAATGTTTTTTATGAATATTATTTAAAATTTTCATGAATATAGTATAATATTATCATGAATATTATTTTATTATTACTGTAAGGTGCAACTAGTTATGAATTTAGATTAATATACCATGAAAAACGCATTTAGCATTCATGATTTTTTTTTTCGTTATATAAGTTTGGACATCTTATGAGAAAAATAACATTATTTTATTATGAATGTATGAAATTTGTGCATATTTATCATGAATATTATATTTGCGAGGTATGAATGTTGTATAGTACTTTATTATAACGTATAAACATGTGCATATTTGTTGTAAATTAATTTCATGATTATTAACATCATTATTCATGATACTTATAAATATTGTCATGAATTTTTATTATATGCAACACAGAATTGTCATGAATTTTTAATATGACTATCATGAAATTTAATATGTTTTGTTTTGCATATTTACATTTTAAGTTATGAACATTATTATTTTGTAATTTTATTTGTATTATATGACTGTAATTGAATTTGTTTCTTGTTAGAATTGTATTTTTCGTTACCATAAAATTTGGATACAATTTGAATTATAGTTTGTTTGGATTTGATTAGTTATAAATTTTAAATAAAATTTAGATACAATTTAAATTGTAGTTTGTTTGGATTTGATTAGTTATGAATTTTAAATAAATAAAAGGAATCTGATTGGATAGATAAGAGAGAAATGAAAACTAAAATTATAAGAGCGCGTGTAAATAATAATAAACCAGTGAACTGTGTTGTACGATATAATTACTCCTTGAATCCACCAAGTTATTTGTATTATTCAGAACTCCACCAAGTTATTTGTATTATTCAGAACTGGCTGATTTCCAGCAACTTTAATATAAGCAAGTTCTTAAAAAAAAATTATATCAAAAAGTGAATAAAATTTCATGACTATTTATCACTTTAATAATAAATTTTATGTTACACCAATTTCATAATTTCTAAAATTGGACCATTTTTTGAAACACATGTAATATTATTTCTTGACACGAAGAAAATAACTTATAACTTTTTGAAAAAACACACAAATACGACAATGCAATGATAAAGCTGCTTTACTGTAACTTTTCTTCTTTTTTACTGATTTTTTGATGAACCTCAACTATAGTTGTATAGGTCCAAATATGAGGCGATAATAATACAAAATGTACATCACAATGGGAATCTGTACAAAATTACACTGGCCTCCCCCTTTCCAATGGTTTGACATACCAAAGAAAAAAAGAATAAGGCTTTCTAAACAAGAAGGGCCAGGAGGCAGTAACTTCTCTTCTGCTCACGAAACCACTATAGAACTATAACCGCATACAATAAAACTGGTCACAGATCCGGGAGAAGGAGAGCAACAGCGTCTGGAGATTGAACAGCTCGGGCCAATTCTGCAATTTTAAGTGCCATGGTAGCCTTATATGTTGCCAAATCAGCATTTTCCATTAGCTGTTGAGCCCTTTGCCGCTTTAGAACAGCCAACCCCTCCGACCTGTTTGCTGCAGCTTTAGCTTCTTCTACCTTGACAATAGCACTTTGCTCCCAAACACCTTGTTCGGCTGCTATTGCTGCACAATCAACACAATTAATTATGAAGGATCCAAATTGCATTCTGTGCTGTGAGACTATTTTATTTCCAAAATCCATCCGAGACATGTCTTGTCGCATTCTCAATCAAAGAACTCAGCCCCATTTATTGAGTACTGACACCCCCCCCCCCAAAAAAAAAAAAATTTTCCACTTCAACATGATAACCCAGAACATATTAGATAAAGCTTAGCTAAATTGAAGAAATAATTCCATCACAATAATAAAGCTCGTAATTAGTTAAGTTACACATACCTTGTAGCAAAGGTCGCTGTTTGCCTCGTCCAAAAAAGCTACCTTGGCGTTTAAATGACCTCTTCTTACGAAGAACAGAATTTGGTAATAGTTGTTGTGTCCTCCTCCGCTGGTACAACTGCGAGATAATTTACATGAAGTTAGTTGTCTATCATTTTGGGATGACTAAAGTAGTAGCTCCTGAGTACTATCACTGTGTATTAACTATATCAAAAATGTAAAAATAAAAACAGCAAGAATAGTGGGGAGGAAAAAAAGGGTAGATTTTCCAGTTAAGGGTCAAGTTGCAAAACAGATCAAATACACAGAATCACTATAACAAGAGGGAACAGTTGGTTGAAAAAGAAGTATTAGAAAATGAACAAGTCCACTTCAGGGGAAGAAAAAACAGTGCCAAGCTTCCAAAACTGGTCCAGACCAGGGAGGAACAAAAAGAAAGAAGAGCTCCACATAAAATTCCAATTCACATAGACATTCAGGTGAAATTATTATCTGGACACAGCATTTGCCACAAGTATAAATCTCCACCACAGACAATACAAACTGCTAGATTGAGTTGGTTATAGATGCATTGATGAAATCCTAGCAAATTTACCTGAAAAACTTTAACCAAAGCTGATTTCTTTTGCTTCCTTTTCTTAATCCAAAATCCATGTACGGCCTCTATAACTCTCCTTTCCAAACTAAGATTTATTTGAGGAGTTGTACACTCATCAGCAAAATCATCTGGATTGCAAAAGAACCCTCTCTCAAAAGCATCAATTGCCAACTCAAAATCCTCCGAGGAAAGGAGTTTCTGATCTGGATTTGCTTCCCTAAATTCACAGTTAAACTTGTTTAGCCACTCCTCATCCTCAGAATCCATATCATAGTTCGTAGTCCTCCTTGCTAATGCCCTGCTCAACTCATCATCCTTCATGCTGATGTATGAGTTGGGTCTAAGGAAAACACTGATGTTGTTCACATAACCAGGTACTTCGTGAACCCCTGGAACAGGGATGACCATCTCAGCAGCTTCCTGTGCATTGCGAGATGAACCGATCTTGTACAACTCTTTAAAAACCAACCAATCTTGCCTATTAGTAAACTCTAGCTTCCAATCATTATCTGTACTCCATATGACCGATTGGGTGAAACGATTAAAACTGCATGGCCTCATAAATTTTTGCACAACAAGACTGAAATGATGCGTTCCATCTTTCCTTATCACAAGATTCCATTGTTTTTCAGCAGACAATTCAAGTGAAATCATGGCTCCTTCCACTCTATAACCCTTCTCTGAATCCATAACCAGTACATTAGCTGAGCAGCTAGTCAGATCAACTTCTGATTTTAATCCCTCTGATATGGATTTCACTTGTGTGGTTTTTGCTGCAATATTCATTTGAGCCGCTGCTTTTTTCCTTAGAGCTGAACTCCTTAGCTGACGATTATGTTTCGTGGGAGAGACTTTGGTACCATTATGCCTAAAGCTTAATAGACTAGAGACAGAAACAGAATTAGTTTTTCGGGTAGCCAGGGAAGTGGGCCGCCTGCCTCTCTTTGATCTAGAAGACCTCCTACTCTGAATGTAGTGACCACTTCTTAATTGCATACTTGGCTCTGAAATAGAAGTATCATTAAAGGAAGGTACCTCAGTTTGGCCCCTTACCAGGTTGAGCGAATCAACGAGAGCCCTCCCTGTTTTGGTCAACCCTTCCGATTTCGACATAACATTTGGACACCATTTTTGCGAGCTGGTTGAGGTGTTGAGATCTATCTTCCTAGAACAATCAGTAGGTGCTGCTGCCATCAATATGTCCACTGCTGTTTCAGTAATTACTTCTCTTCCAGAACACATGTGCGATGTAGCTTCATCATCCTCATCTTCCTCGACCACATCCACCACATTATGTCCAATAGAACAAGCCAGACGATCAAATTCAAGCATCATCCTTGATTTCAATAACATAAAACAATATGGAATTACAGAATAATCCACCGAAAACACTGGCGCCGAACTGCAAGAACCCCATATTATGCAACGACCACGGCAAACTAGCTTAGAGTCCTAAACAAATAGAAAGAATAAAACATAAATAAGCCTTCCAGAAAGAACCAATTTTCTCAACAGAAGAAAGAGCTGAAATAAAATGAAATCTGCAAAATACCTTCAAAAAACGGATGCCACGAGAAGAGTATGACAGACCAATCGTCTTTGAGTTCAAGAATGGAAAGAGCTGTAGGAACCCAACTTTGGCTCTCCAAATATACCTCAAAACAGAACTGAGAAGGCAGGAGACTAAGTCCCAGTCACAAAAAGAAATGTCAACAATTACAATTAGTGATGGCACAGGATTGTCAAATGATCCTTCTGATGCCACCAAACAAACATCTGAATGACAAGCTTTAAAAGGTACTTTCTGTTCAACTTTCTTCTTCAATTTCTTTCTCGAAAAATGCTTGCCAAATCTCTTCTTGTCTCCACTAGGTAGGATATCAGCAACGCCAGAATCCACTTTCTTGCGTTTCCTTGTGTAAACAATTCCCCATCTCCTTCCAACATGATTATTCGCAACCACAGCCTCAGGGACAACATTCTCAGATATTGGCTCTACTACCTTTTTGTCAACATCCATGTCCCTTATATTCTGCTCAGGAACAGCATAGTTTCCCTGTCGCCCGCGTTCCTTGCGTTTGGTTGCATCACCACCACCATCCCTAGAATTGTCCAAAAGTTCTATCCACTCGGCATTGTTATTTTTAACTGACCACAATCGCCTCCCTGATCTCAACACTCTAGCCCCAAAAACCCTTGTACTCCTCCTCATTCCCACAGAAGGCATTGGGTTGTGACTCTTCACGGGCAGAGGAAAGGAATCAAGATTCCCTAGACCAATAATGAAAAGGCTCCAGGCCCAAGTCTGTCACTGCAAGGGGAAACTTTTGAGTTTTAATTGCAAGGATGTGGCCCAGGATGAGGATGATTTGGCTAATTAACTCCGTTAGTAACACTACAGCAGAGATAATTCATAACTAAACTACCAAGGACAAACCTTCAGTAAAACCAAGTCGAGCAATCAAACATCCGGCCAACCCCTTGCCAATTTGCTGCCTTCACTGAGAAGCCAACTAGTTCAAAAACAGTCTCACTCAGCACCTACCTAAAGACCGGATCTTTACACAGTAAAGAACACAAAACAAACTTTGTTCTATTCACAGGCCAAACTTCACAACTTAAAGGTAGTACACCAAGCAACACCTTAGTTCCGACCAAAACTCGTCCAGTAATACATGCCCCCTCTCCAAGAGCAAAGAAAAAGAATAAAGAAAACAAGAAAGTGGCCGTAAGCCCCCCTTGAATCCCACTCCGCTCAAACTAAATTTGAGGAGAAAGATCAAAATCAGTGCAAACAACAAATAATTTCACTGCAGGTTTTTACTTTCAACACCAACGGCAAGAACTAGGCAGTGAACCAACACCACCCCAGAGGAGAGAACTATATACAAACTTAAAGAATCATCTCTCAAAGACCCAAAAAAATAAGGGGAAAAAAAGAAAAAAAATTAAAGAGACCCACTTTTCATCCCAAAGAACAAGTAACTAATGGTACACAGAAATTTACCTATCTCTTAACATAGAACCAGACATACTAACAGAGAAACTCTTCAATCCGCCATCTCACCGAGGTTTCCCTAACTCCTCAATCTTCAAGATCTGAACTTTTCCCCTTTAATTTTCAATTTTTTTTCTCTATTAGGATATTTTTTTCGAGTTATGGATTTCACGTCTCGCTTGTGAGTGTTTTTGCAGGGTGGGGGCGACGATAGCTGCGGAGGAAGTTTACTGGGTTGCTCCTAGGGTTTATGATATTAAATCAAACTTTAACTGTGACCGAATTATTCTCGACCGTTGGATTTAAAAACGAGCGGTTCAGATTGCCGTGATGAGGCCCAAGGAAAAAATTGGGTTGTGGGCCCGGAAATAGGTGGACGTTTCAGCTTCAACCTTTGGAGTTTCTGGATAAACAACAAGGAGGCAGTACTGATATTTTAGAATCCTTTCTTTATTGGGGATCTACAACGTTAAATGACGTAAATACCCCAGCACGACCGGTTTGGGATATCTGGGTACAGCATATTTTAGTCTTTTCAAATAAAGATCAATTTTTTATTTATTTTCTGAACAATTGACAGAAATAAAATAAAATAAGAAAGCGCGCGCAATCAGGATTACTTAAGGAAGTTGTGGAAAAAGGCGGCAACAGTTTCGCCACCTAACCAGGACATTTTTATGTTAAACCGGTGTTTAACTAAATTAAACAAATACGAATTAAATTAACACAATCAATTAGCAGACCGGATATAATAAATGGAACAAATTATATCCTCAGTCCCGGAGAAAAGAAAATCCTGCCGATTCTTTGGAATTGAAAGAATAACAAATACGTAACAATTTCCCCTTAATTTTTTTTTTTTTTTTGGGGGCGGCCGGAGTAACAAATAATAAATCACCCCTTTCCAGGCACGGCTTAAGAATTAAGCCATCAGCACAAGATCTTAACAAAATGGATCTATTGTTCCCATGTTTTTAGTGCATCTGACAATGACTACACATACAGATATCATGTAATTTAACGCAATTCATAGGTATTGAATTGTTTCACTAATCAAACACACTTCATAAGCAAGCAACCAAAAGAAAAAAAGAAAAAATATCAACCACACATGACAGCACCCAGAAAGTAGCACAAGGGCTCAACACAACTTCAGCAACTACTTAGGATAGATCAAATGAATAGTCGTTGAATAATCTAATCAAAAAACTAAAGAGAGTCAGAGAGAGACAAATATGTGTTTCATGGGAAAAAAATGAATATACGTAATTCAGTGACTACTACTGGACTTTAAGCATTTCAAGAATCAAACAAACCAAGAAAAAGACCGGGGAAAGGAGAACACGAAATGAAGCATATTGAGAAGTCAATCGCAGAAAACATCAGCACTATCTGATTTCCTTATGCAACTACTACTACAATTAAACTAGTAATGATATTTATGTTCACCATTGCACTCCCAGATAATCCTTCCAATAACTGAAGAACTCAATGGAAATCCGAAGATGAGAGGATGAGGAACTACACTATTAAATCATGGATTTACAGCATAAACTAGGCCTCACTCACTATCCTGATATGCCAGACCAAACACAGAAACACTGTAGTCATTCCTATCAAATTCAAAGAACATCGTTTCTTCCAAGTTTAAATATCTACGTTTTTCATCACAGTACTAAAGTTCTTCACAACCAACCCTCCCCATCATTCCCCCAATCCTTCCCCACGCAGTTGTTTCCCCTTTTTTTTTAACTAACCATTCGCATTTCCGTAGGTTTGCCTGCCTTCATATCTGACACGCTGTAAGCCTGTTTCTCTCATTACCTCACCTATCGAGATTAACAGTACCATCTTTCTATAATTTTTACCTCATTATGTGTCCACATCCATCTGAATATATTCACAAATACAGTGGTAAAATTCATCCAAATCGCATCTTCTCACACATTCAGAGATAATATAAGCTGAAAGAGTTCTTCCGACCAAGGAAAATTGTATTTCTTGCTTCCATCAATTCAAAAAGTAACTTACCATTGACTTACCATTTCCAAGCAGAATATCTGCCTGAGTAGAACAGAAAGCAAAACCACGGCGTGGTTGTAACCAGGCCTGCAAATTCCAATTCGAAGTTTAGTTTCTCTGTCGTTACCAAGTACTGAAGTTCAATTAAAAAGAAGAAAACCTAAACGCTCACGTATCAACCCAAAGCTGTACAAAATATATAGTAATTCACTTCAACTAGCAGTTATGTCACTTAAAAATAAATATCTGCAGAAAATTTATGAACTCCAAGAATACTGTGAGTTTTGAAGCCAATCTCATGCTTGTATTCAAATGTACCCCATCTTTACTTTCTTTGAAGTGTCGTCTTTCAGTGAATGTCCATCATTATACACTGAAGAATCAACCAGCCAAAATTCCTTAAGATACCAGAAGGTTCCATACTTAAGATGCTTCTTCGCAGATTAATTAATAGGGCCATTCTACGGTTCAAAGAAAAAGGTCTGACCAGGCTTCAAATCAAAATGAGACCTTCCAATTCTTACCTATGTGTTTAGCATCAAAACATCTAACTTTCAGCAAACAAGAAAGGTCAAACTACAAACTGATAATCAACAATACCAATTTGATCATCAGTTTGAAGGACAAAGATAAACTGAAGATTATAATTGTGATAAATACGAGAGTATCTATCTGTAAGAAGACAGGGATTTGTCGCTTAGCAACTGTTTAAAAGCAACCCAGAAATGTTACTCTTTCCAAAATAATTCCTTCTTAAACTGAACACTCCTGACATTAAGGGGGTGGAAGTTATTTTTGAAGAGCACAGTGTCTAGAAGTACTTACACGGCGATCATTCTGGAAAAATATCATCCCTAAAAATCTCAAGAACCTGTCTAAAATAAATTTTATATCTTCTAGTGCAGTGCAACAATGAAACTTATACCACCCCTATCTCACACATATTACTGCAACTTTCAAATGCAAGAGGATAAGAAGCGGCAATAACTAAGGTTAAGATTGTCTTGATAAGAAAACTTTCATTTTGCTTCCAAGTGAATGAGTACTCCCAAGCATTTTAAAACTTTAACCAGCCTGGTAGTGATGATGTGATGTCCCTTTCAATAAGAAATCAGAAATAACACCTAAGAGTTTGACAAAGGAAACAGGTTTAAGAGGGTTAAATCAAGGGACGAGCGCATTGGCAGAAGTTTACATTTTCATCCATTCAAGATGGAAGAGTTACTCTATCCAAAATCCTAAACCATCTGATGGGAATAGTATCCATCCATGATGACTGCCAAAATTGTTGTGCTGTTAAGCAATGAGCTATCAGTGATAAGTAAGCGTTCATTCTCATGCAAGTTGATTTACTTTTAGCCACACTTGGAGCTATACATTTCAATCAAGAAAGTTGCATTGCATTTCATTAGATTAAGTGGCATGTGTTTTAATACTGTAAGAATTTTCTCAACTTTAAATTGCCACTATTCCCAAAGATATGGCAAGAGACCAAATGTTACCCTTTTAAGCAACAGAGTGTGGCTTAACTGCAAGTTTTGGTACCAGCACAAACAGCTGAAACCTACTCCAAGTACCAACAGAGTGAGCATTATGAAAAATTAGATAGGAGGAAAACAGATAGATCATCCTACTTTCCACCTCCCTCTCCCTCCACATGAAGGTTGTAAGAATTTCACCTCCAATGCTGAGGCAGTACAAATAACATTAGTGTGCTTCTGTTTCCCTGCATCTGGTTTACATTTTCACCCAGAATAATTTTGTAAGGTATGCAAATAACGGATTTCTCTGCCTAATACCTATACATAATGAATGTCAATGTTCAGTAAACGAGAGAATGAAAGATAACTACACAATAGTTAACATACTACACTGAAACTAAAACAAGAACATCGATGAACCTAGAATAAATCTTCCTAACATCTTGAGATGGATTCCATTTAGTTCACAACAACAACAAGAATAAAAATATGCTGGCATTGAACACGAAAATTTAGTGGAGATCAAATTTCAACAATGAGCTAGCTCAAAGACACCAAAACTGGTGTACAATATTCCAGGAGAATGCAAGAAAAAGTTAGAAGTTTACAACAAACACAAATGTCTTTAAACAATACAACAAAAACGGAAGTCAGAAATCTTTGTCAAGATACACAAGTCAAAAGTAAAACGAATCAAACATCTCACGAACAAAACAACAGCATGTTAATATCTTCGTCGGAAGAGGAAAATAACTGAAGCTACAAGGTCTATTAGAATTCAAAATCACCAGCAATGAGATAGACAACCTGAGATGTCTAATAACCTAAGTAAATTAACTCTAAAATTAGCAGAGAAAGAGAACCCATGACACTGCATGCAGGAATTGACAAAACAAGAAAGCCCCTGTTCCTGATCATCAAATTCAAATAAGTCAACAGCCAATTCCAGTGCAAACAGATGAAAGCAAAGCAAAAACACCTGTATATGCGCAAACTAAACCCTTTCATACAAAGACAGCCACATATTCCAGAAACATATACAATCATACCGGCTCCAGGAACATAATCACCGTTTCCTGAGGAATACCAACCACTTACGCAAAGCAACAACAACAACAAACGAGAACGCATAACCACAACCAAGGTCAATCAAAATTCAACTACCAAAACACAAGACTAGCTCGGATTAAGTTGCAAATAAATTAATCAGAACAAAGTTAGAACAGATTTTCGATGAAAAAAAACAAAGGAAAATCAATGTATTCTTCGAATAAGAAAGGTACCTGAGCTTGCGGCATTGCAAAAACACCTTGGAAATAGAATGACGGATGAACAAAGAAGCGAATCATGGTGCTTAAGGTGGAGTTGGAGGTGGAAGTCGGGAAGGATGATGATGCCCTAACCCTCCAATGCTCTGTACAGAATGTAAACGAGCTACCAAGCTCAAAACCCTTTCGAACACATGAATGAATGTTCAGCCAAAATAAATGGTGCGACCTGTTTTGTAGCATGCGGAGAATTTCTCGTTTTAATATTTTGCCTTTAACTTAATTGTTAAAAAAAAAAAGGTACTATATATTACTAAAAAAAACTTTTTAAATGTATTACTACTTGATATAATAGGAATTAGTCGGAGTCTCAGGACAATTACTCGAATTTCAAGTGCTTAATATGTCAAAAAATAAATAAATATTGTTAAAAATAACATTTAGCATAAATTCGATAACTATTAAACAGTATTCGTGTCAGCGACCGAACGACCGAACTTTTCATTCAAAAAAATGCTGAGATTAATCAGAAAAAAGTTGCGGATTTTCAGGCCCAGCATAATAGCAATAAATTAGTTGCAAGCGGATCAACTCTTCCAAGATGTACAAATACAAAACAGAACTACTCATATTGTTGTTCCAGTAAAAACAGGACTCAAACCAACAAAACATCAAATTATTATGATAATAGATAGTCCAAAGGAGTTCGATTCCGGACATTATGTGATAATTGATACCAATCAAACTAGTCGACGATCTAATCGTTTCTCATATGAGCCGTCAGCTAGGTGGTAAAGCCATGGTATTCTAGTTGATGATGTTGTAATTATGAATGAGTATGGTCTCGGCTCCCAAGTAACCTTTGAGGTCAAAAAGAGTGTTATAGATTCATACATAGTTTATCCGAGATATGCAAGAACCGTTAAGTAGAGGTTAGATGAAAAAGATTATTGCATGTAACAACGTTTTGTTTTAGTTTTTGATTTAGATTTGGGGGAGATTTAAAATATAGTTTAAGTGGATAATTTAAAAAATTGTTTGGATAGTTCAGTGACCATTTATGAAATTAAAATAATTCAGTGACCAAACTGAATACCTTGCAGTAGTTCAGTGACCATTGGCGTCTCACCCATGCCCACCACCGTCGGTGATGCGCCGATAGTCATTAAACTATTGCAAAGTATTCAGTTTGGTCACTGAACCATTTTAATTTCATAAATGATCATTATATTAAAATATATACTAAAATATTGTTTAATTTAAATTTTAAAATGTAAATTGAAAAGTTGTATGGCGGATTATTATTTTGTATTGAGTTTTGTGTTTAAAAGGAAAAATAGTACAAAAATTAAAACAAGAAGCCATCCAAACAAGCACTTAGTGTTTTGTTTAGTTAAGTTTCATCAATATGTAATTTTAATTTTTTTACCTTTACATCACTTTTTCCCAATTTGGATATGGACTTTTTTTTATTTGTTCTATCTTGTAATTCAACAACTTAATACTTCATTTGTCAAGAAAAAGAAATCTACATAGCTAGATAAAAACAATCTTTCATAACACTTTTGTATTACATTCTCTAGACATTGCTTAATTAAGTGTCACGAGTCTAATAATTTATCCAAATGAGTTCAGTCATTATTTGGTTAAAGTGTTAGTAATAGTAATAATGACATTTATCAATCTTTAACTTGTATTTCCAATGAGTGTAATATATAAATGCCACATAAGACCTTGAGCACCTACACATGAATTCTCTCACAATTTACTTCAAGTACCTGTAAGACAGTCTTACAAATTGCTTTTGAAATCTCACTTTAAACACATGATCGGCATTGTGTAGTTTAAGGTTGGAAGGTAATTTTACAAGGAACAAAAATATATAAGGAACAAAATATATATATATAAGGAACAAAAATTAGGGTTTAAATGTGCTGAGAATTTTTCAGTACATGATAATTGAGATAAAAGTTGCAAACGAAGTAGATAATAAGAATGTCATTAAAATAGTCAAAGAATTACATTCTTGTGCATTCGTTTGGAGAATAACAGTTATAACTAGAACATTTTTGCGTAAAAGTAAATTTATAATCGATCTTACATATTTATTTACGACCATGTAATAACTCAAACTCTCAAATGTATAAACTTGCATCATACTTTCCAAAAGTTGTACATCCTACTTAATATTGCTCACTACATTTCAATTTACTAAAACAAGTTATTAGCCTCATTTTCATATATATTATCTATTTTACAAGCTATTCCATTGGTTGTCATTCCTCCGAGTATCATATGATAATGGATATCCACATATCCTATTTGCAGTAACAATATATTTTCATTAGTTTTAAAGTTCTTCCAAGTTCAAATATATCATTAATCACTTCCATAATTTAAGTTTTGACACGAACTCTCTTCGTTTTAAACCAATTCAGTAAGAATGTAAGATCTCCTGCAACTCTCTTGCCAACTTGTTTGTTAATCAAAAGGGTTGTTGTGGAGTGATAATTGGTAAGTACTCATTCACTCTTAGATATAGGTCGATGATTTGAATATCGTCATAGATATGAAGTAACTTTAAATCTTTTAGCAAACTCTCTCACCCATCGAGATGCTTACCACGAGTGAGTGAATTAATTAGTGAAGTTTTTTTTTCAAAATAAAAAATAAAAAACTATTTGCATTTGACATTCAGATTGGAACCGTAGAATAATTTTTTAAGATTGCACACATTATTGAGAGACACCTTATTACAATGAGATGAAGTTTATTGAAAATGAAACACTATAGGAAAAGACTTCATCGTTAGCGACATGCCAAATGCGGTTATTTGCCTAATCATAAGTTTGCACATATTAATGAGAGATATGTAACTAGGGGTGGCAAATGACTCACCCATTTGGATTTTGGGTTGGGTCAAAAGATGAGTGGTATATTTTGTGTCATGACTCAACCCAAACCAACTCAATTATATGTCGTAAATGACTTAGATGGACTTAGAGTTGTTTTAAATGAGTCATGACCCAACCTGACTCATTTGTATATGGGTCAACATGAGTTGAGTCAGTATGAGTTATTTAAGACAACCCATGTGGGTCAATGAGTCATTTGACTCTATATTGCTTTATCTTGAAAATGAGTCATTTGATTAAAATTATAATTAATTTTTAATACTTTATTAATTATATTTATTCTTTTACTCTCATAAATAAATCACATATATTGTTTATTTTCTTTCTTCGTAATTATAATTAATTTTTTTTTTCATACTCAAATAAATCACATATATTATTTCTTTTTTTCTTCGTAAAAAAATAACCTTCATTTCTAATTTGTATAACAGAATTAATAACTAATCTTTGAATTTTACAAACAACTAATTAATAACCAGTTGATATCAGAGGTCATGAATCCTTATAGTCGTGATTTGAACCCACGAAAAACTTTAAAAAGCTATTTTTATGTCTTACACATCAAAGAAATTTTAAAAAAATAAAAATCTTTCCGGCGGGATTTCCATCACCGGCGGAACGTGGACCTCCGAATAACTAAACTTCTCCGGCGCCTGCGACGGAACCACGTTTACAGGCGGAGGCTTATCCATTGAAATAACTGGCAGGAACTGATCTTTCACCTCCATGGCAATCTCCGAAGGCATCGGGACCTCCAAAACTCTCACCAGCGGATTTTCCTCCATCATCGACTCCTCCTAATTTCCTCCGCATTTTGAGGCGGGGCAGCCGGTGGCGGTGGCTCTTCGGAAGGCTCCATCTCGTCATCATGGTAAATCTTGAAACCCAATTCGCCCCGAATCCAACTGAATATACTTTTCTTCTCCAGTGAGAAGTAAATCAATCCTTCTTCTCCCCTCTTAGCAAACTGGGTCCCAAAGATTTTAACCCGGCCCAGGAAATGATTCTTCCTTCCATTCCTGATGTAGTATTTGTTTATTCGGCGGGGGTGAGCAAAGAGGGTTCCATCTTCATATATTCTTCTTATCTATCACTCATTGCAAGCTCATTCAGACATATATACATAATAAACAACAAAAATACAGCCACTTGAGAGAGGATTCGTCGGAGGAGTTCGCCGGAGTTGGGTCGACGGGCTGATGATCTGGGTCACGCGAGCGGGTGGAAGCCCAAATAACCAAGGAGCTCGTCGGAGAAACGACGGGCGAATTCCTATTCCGATGGAGAGAGGAAGTGACCCCGTCAAACTCTGAGATGAGAAAAAACTTATGGAGTAAAAAAATTTAGGTCAAACTTACCCAGCTAAAAGATTCATATGACCTACGGCTGACCCAACCCAACCCAACTCATAAATTAGGAATGGGTCATTTGACCCATGACTTAATATGACCCAAACCAAGTAAGTCAAAGTTATGGATGGGTCGGGTCAAAACTTAAGTCATGGGTCAAGATTGCCACTTCTATATATAACCTATTACCATGGCACGAGGTCGATTAAGAATAAAAAAGTACTACTATAAAAAGATTTCATCGATAGCTTTATTAGGTGTATCTGTCCAAAATAATTGTCATGTTTAAAATTTTATCTATAGCATAAAGATAAAAGTTTGGGTGAGTCAAAAAATTCTTAAAATATGATTGGACGGACAGTTTATTCCACAAATATGATTGTGTTAGTGTATACATAATTAGAATATTATTGTAATTATATATACCTCGTTGTACTATATATATCGGTAATGATAATACAATACCCGTCAAGGGTTTCTACACTTTTATGGTATCGAGCCTCTTTTCTGGAGCCGTCAATTTTTTAGGGGTTTCTTCTTCTTTTACTACAATTTGTGCCGTCTCTGATCTCTCCTTTGCTTGAATTTGTCGCCGAGTGGACTGCCGCTTCTTCTTGCTCCGTTGCTCTCTGATTTTGTCGCCTTCTTCACGGTCTTGGTTTGTAATTTTGATTGTTGATGTCTCTTCTTCACCATTTCGGCTGTTGTTTGCTCCTTCTTTTCTGCTACTTAAATTCGTTTGTCGCTTGGCCGTTGTTGTTGTCCGCCGCTGCTGCTTGCTTCTGGTGCTTAGTTTGCTCTTCTTGGTTCCACGAAACTTCTTCACCTTTGTTTGTGTTTATGTTGGTGAAAGCAAAGGGTGCCATCGGGAATTTTTTGGTTGCTGCAAGAGCCTCTCCGTTGCTCGTAAGTCTCTGGTTTTGAATTTTGGTCCATTCTGGTTCTGTCCGGTTTGGTTCAACCGGTCCAGTTCGGTTCACACTGTTCGGTCCGGTTTGATTCATC